TTTATAGTTAAACATTATTCAACATTTTGCTTCTCAGTTGACTCATATTTCAATCAATGTTATGCAAATATATATTCAAACTGCATTTCCTTTCGGAATTATTATTTCATCGTATCAATACTGCAATAGAGCAATTTTTTTTAGCTATAACTGGCCTGAGTAGCCTTAAGCTTTATAATATTGGTTTGAAGCAGACTCCTAATTTATTGATATATTCTACAGAGGGGCATCATTCCTGTCATGTGACTTCTTATGAGATTACCATCTAATATCGTCCACGAGATATGAAAGCCCCTTTGGGTAATTATTCAGCATACAATCATTTATGACTATCTAAAACATGCTGAGCTTTGTTGCATCGTGTATAAATTTTGTATACATATTTGTAAGGTCTAATCCCGCCTTAATTATTTTGAGTGAGTTTAAAATAGATATCTTTAGAAATTAATACGATAGTGAAAGTTATTGTGTATGTTTATCATCGCTGTAGAGTATAAGATGGAGAAAAGGTTGGAGTCTGTTAAATTTGTTCGATTCCCAGGTTAGCTCCGGCGCTGGTTCTACGATTTTTTAAAAAAATGCATTTTTGATGCTATAAGAATTATTTAAACAAATATTTATGATCAAGTGGAGAAAAAATCCCCCCAAAGAAAGTTATGCAATCATTCAAATTTTAATTTATCTCAAACTTATTACTTAAAACAGCAGTTCCCAAAGGGTGTTCCGCGGAACTCCGGGGTTCCGTGAAAGGTCAAAGGGTTGCCGAGGCGTAAGAATTAATCAAATTTATTTTAATGGAAAATATATTTTAGATCATTCATTTTTAGTTTATGCATACATTAAAATCAAATTAATCATGCTTGACTCCGTACTTGTGAATTCAACTGTCTGACGTAAAACCCAATTTTAAGACCAATATTAATAAAACGATAGGATGAAAAAATTTCATTCATTCACTAAATGTATTAAAAATATTTAATAAAATTTAGATCTGTACATATTTTCAAAATAATTAAGTCTTTCGTTAATTTATACGTTCACAGTTGCTTAAGAAATTTATTAAGTCTCAGGATTCTGCAAAAAGGGTAAATCATTTAGGGTTCCACAGCCAAAAAAAAAATTGGGAATCTATACCTCAGAAACTTTTTGAACTGTTGGGGGAAAAAAATCGAAATTTGTAAAAGAATTATAATTTATCTTTGGATTCATAAATTCGAGAACTAAGTTTATTTAGCATTAGCTAAGTTGAAAAGTTAATTAAAAAATATGTAAATGAATTTAATGTATGATTTGTGATGGTTTTATAATTCATGAATATTCATTAAGGATTCTTCATGTAATTAAGTGTCTATATGTGTGGGAGTGTGCTGGTGAGATATCAATATCTAGCGCTTTTCTTTTAATGGTTTAGCACACTTCCTATATTTTGTACAAATGTTTATTTTTTAATTCATTTCTTCAACTTAATTATGTGTTATGATATGAAGTTTATTTTAATTTGAATACCTTTATCCGTAATAAAGTAAAAATACAGTCATTCTCGCAGTCCGGGTAAAAATGTAAGCACCGTAAATATTACTTCTTACCTTTAAAAAAATACTTCACCAATTTTGACAATTAGCAGAAAAATTTGTAATAACGCAACCTTTTTTTCGATATTAATATGTACGTAAAAACACCCTTATAAATAACATACACTCTAAAAACTGTACCCTTTATTTTCTCGCGTTAGAGGCACATAACTAATGTGCCTTTAAAAATGAGAGGCACTACAAGAAATGAAAGGCACCAAAGCAAACGCGAGTCAATGCGCGGTACGAAAGGATTTTACCGGTTCCCTGTGCCTTTCAAATGGGCTTCCCTTTTTTTTCTTCGGTACGATGTAACGGAGAAGATGCGCATGCGCACATCAACGAAATATTTTATGACGAAATACAAATAATAAAAGCAGACGATAAAATTAGAACACCAGAAAGTTGTTGATTTTTTAGAATTAGTTTTGTGTGGAATTTGAGTTTTCATATTACCCGTTACGGGTTTATCTAGTTTGTTTTATGATATTTTATCTATCCCGTTACGGGTGAGTTTTCATATATCCCGCTACGGGCACTTTTTCTAGTTTCCTTTATAAGATTTAACTATCCCGTTACGGGTACTTTATATTTGTTATTGTATTTGTTGTGGTGTGAAATAAATGTTTTTATAAAAAAACTGAACAGTTCTTTAATATAGCTTGATACGCTACAGCTATGTATTAATTGGTGGCAGCGGTGGGATCCGTTCCAGAAATGTTTTATTAAGTTTTTGAAAGAATTGGTGACAAATATTATTGTTATTAAGGATTTCCTACTTTAGAAAAAATTAGTGAATGAGATGTTTAAAATTGATGCCAAGAAGTGTGGAATTCGACGGTACTTCGAACTCTTTGAACAGAAAGCGAAGAGATTTAGTGTGAATTTCGATCTTTGGTTTTCGTGTGCTTTACAGCTTATTCCTGCTGAAAGGTCAGAAATTTATGATGATAATTATTATTACTTTAAAGAAAATCTCATTGCCAATTTTCAGTATGATCCACAAGCTATTCCGTGTAATAACGATCGCCAGAAAGAACATTTTAATGAGAAATGGAATTCGCCAAGTATTGTGAAGAAATTTAGATCTGAACGTGAATGTTTCTATTGTGGTGAAATAGGACATTTTAAGAAATACTGTAGACATCGAAATTCGGATTATAGAAAAGAGAATTATATCCGATTGTTGTAATCAAGTTTAAGCACGAAAGTAATTTTTATTTTAATAATATTTATAAAACAAATGCATGTTTAATGATTGGGGCAAAAATGCAGAATTTCACGTTTTTTAAAATACAATAAAAAAAAAAATCTGAAACAAGCTTTCCAAAAAAATTGCAGAAGGCTTTTCATATATTCTGAGCTCAAATAAAATCATCGATTAAATAATATTAAGTACAGTTAGTTCTAAAAAAATTGAAAGCTAATGTTCCCAAAATGGGAATGATGGCGCCTAACGGGTTAATATGTTTCGCCAAAATCTGGATTTTAAAAAAATTCATTTCAATGGAAAGAAATCTTTTATTTTACACTTGTTAAGTCATTTGTTTAAGCATATTTCATGTTATAAAATATCCAAGTTGTCAAAATCTACATCTATCATTTTAAAATATTCTATGTTTTTCCAAATTTGTGCAACTGTATACATCATATTGCAACTGTTACTAAATTATGTAAAATTGTTCTTTATGTGTGAAAATAAAAGATATTAGATTTCATGATATTTAGTGTTTAATTTTTGATCCTTATAAAACTATTTTATGAAATCTCTAAATATTTAAAAAATATCTAAATTTATAATAAATTTCCATTTTGAGGATGCTTTTTGGAAAAGAAAAAAAATCCATGAATTATATTGACTTGGCTTAACAGAAATAAATATTATCTTTTTGTACCTATATCTGATTAGAAAAGCATCATTGTAGTTGTTGAAGTATCATTAAACGCTACATAATTAAAGAAATGGTATAAATTTACATATTTTATAATTGTCTATGAAAAAGCCTTAGATGGAATCCCTTGAAATGATCACTTTCAAGTGGCCAATATTCAAAGAATTGAGAAATATTTTTCATTAAGAATTATTATAATTAATATCTTGGTAATAGTGTAAACCAAACAGAAAGTCCCTTTTTATATAAAGTGCTAGCAAATTACAAATAGGTAAAAAAAAATGTGTTCAAATCTGGTAAATAACAGGTTTTGGTACCACTAAATGCTTGTTTCAATGAGCGGTACATAAAAGCAAAATCTAAGGTACAATGTACCTTCCAAGTTAAGAGGTACATCTGATTTTGCCTCTGAAATCAGAGGTACATTGTGCCTTTCATTTTTAAAGGTACGTTGTGCCCTTAAAATTCAGAGGCACAAATGATTCAAATGTGCCTCTGAAATCAGAGGTACAGTTTTTAGAGTGTATGTCAGGATAACTACAATGACCACATATTTTAACTCGAAAATAAACAACATTAAGAGGATTGACAAAAAGAATGAATACAATTTCCAAACGAATAAATATGCTTGATAAATTTATTGTATTCTTTTAAAAGACACATGATTGCGAATAACCATAAATTACCACCACTTAAGATATAGGTCACGTCACTCATCCTTTATTGGAAGGGAGGATTCGAGGTGTTTTACATTTATTGTGTAGTAACATGTAAGGAAATAATATTTTAAGTTGTTCCTTCAAAATATTTTTTTTTTACAGATAACTATTAAATTTCGGTTGCTATATTGAAATGACTGGTTCAATGTAGATGCTCTAATGTTCGCAAAAGGTGTTGCGCGGAACCCTATAGTTCCGTGAGAGAGGCTCCCGGTGTTAGAACCTTTTTTTTTTTAAACCGGTAACTGTAATTATATTACACTAGTACTTCCCATCAAGCTTTTCAATTAAAAGAAAATAACCAAATTCAACAAAAAAGAAATGTATTTCTCTGATAACTATTTTCAATGTTTATATCAGTTCTTTACACTTCGACGAAAACCATAGTTTAGCTTATTTATTTCAATTTTAGCTTATGTGTAAACAAGTCAAAAACAAAATTCACAACTTGACTAAATGCCGTTCCAGACCTGTGAATTCTACCGTTAAACGCAACACCGAATTTTAAGACTGTTTTCGATAAAAAATTATCTTTATTTCCTCCAATTAAATGTTGTTTTTTTTTAAATTAATGATGAGTAGTGTTTCTTTGGTTAATAAGTTTACTGTTCTTTATGAACTTTATTTATAAATGGGGTTCCGTTAAAAGGTCAATCATTTAGGGTTCCATTTGGGAACCCCTGCTTGAATGGACAATAAAATAACATTGCTTATGTCTGAGTCGAACATTTCAAACTACCAACTACACAGTTCTGTTTTTGTTTTAATTAAGATAACTTAGTGTGAATGTCTTATTTAAAATGTATTTTCTTTTGCAGTACAACCTGACGCTTGTTGCTTCTGACACATTGTTTGAAAATAGCACAACTGTTATTATAAAAGTGAAAGATATCAATGACTTGCCTCCCAAATTCACGCAATCCCTTTATCAAACACACATTCTGGAAGAAGACTCCGATGGATTGCCTAAAAGAATCCTCAAGGTAACTTTAAGGAAATTTATTTGTAATTAAGTCGATAATCTAGCAATTTCTTTGATATTAAATCTTCCTTGAAGAGGCACGTACAAATCTCTCTATTTTATTGCTTAGAGAAGTTCTATGCTTTTTTTTTTTTTTTTTATTTTTTTTTTTTTTTTTTTTTTTTTTTTTTTTTTTTTAAAGAAACTGAGTTTGACTCAGTATAGTCGCATCCGGCGCTTGCTAAACTGACTTAAATCAATCAACGAAGAATCCAAATGACTTCAGAACTTTGGGATATTGAAACTTTTGTATTGCCCCGAGTTCACCCCAAATATAAGTCGGATAAAGGCCAAACTTTGCGATCTTGCTATTAAGCCTTTGGCTGTCTAAAGGAGGAAAATATTCATTGAAACCTTTTTATATCAATTTAAAAAATTTGCATTTTTTATACTTAACTGTACCAAACGTTTGTTTAAAAGTAATAAAAAGTTTACGAAAATTTTATCATGAATCCGAGTCCATCTGAGCAACACTTCCTAGAAGAAAGAAGGCCTCAGCACGGTTCAATTTAGTAGTCCAATCTAACGAAGTTAACTGCGCAGTAGATGAAAAATAAGAAAGATGACATTTCGTTAAGGGTACTAAGCTGCGCAGTGGTTGAAAATACGAAATATGTCATTGCGTTTGGACTACTAAAGGATATTTATGGTAACCCGTGCTGAGGCCTGCTCTTATCTGGGAGGTGTTAGTCTGAGCCTGTAAACTTTTTTCAGTAAACGGGCTTGGGCTGAGCCCGTCTTAACTCGATTTTTGACGCGTAGTCTTTTCACATTTTTAATTCGCATGCGTGGTTTTTTTTTTTCTTTCTAAATTTAACTTTAAAACAATAACTAATCCAAAAGCACACCACAAACTAGAGTTTAAAAGCAAATTACTTCGAAATTAGTTATGTTGGAACTCTTGATTTAATTAGCTTGAATTTTAACTTAACAATTTATGTACTATAGTATATCCTTCAAAAATATTCTATTTGATCATAAAGTTTAAGTAGGGTATTTAATATTATATATATATTTAAACTTAATATTGACGTCCATTAATTTATGCATTGTCTCATTAATCGTTTTATGTTACCCGAAATAAAATTTAATTATCAATAAAATTAGAATGAGTTTAAATAACTTTCATCTTCAATTACAGAAATGTTTAAGTCCCGATGTTATTCCCCAATTCCCATTAATTAAAGTGCTTCACATTAATTGCGAACTTGCGAATTAAATAACTTAAATTTACTCAGTAAATCTATGCTGCCTGAAATTATACTTTTAATTAACTTAGATTTTGCGTCCGTACGTGATGGTGCATACTTAATAAGCTCGAAGGAGATCGTTAATTCTGCTACGTCATTTTTTTACGTGTCATTACTTAAAGAAGAAAAATCTTGAAAACCGCTGCGATTTTAAACTTTCTTAACATCTTCTTTCGGAATCGGTCGTCGTTTTGTTCCAAGATTATTAAATCTTTAATTCGTTCCAACTCGAGTGTGATCCAATGATATCCATCATGGCAAATCGCCTTAACTCAAACCAGAGCTTTTGAAGATCGTCATTAACTTGCTCTTTGGAAGAAGAATGCCTCTATCGTTAATATCTGCTAGACCGGGTGGTAATGAACATTAATCTATGAGATCTTCTCTGTACCAGCAGTAAGTTCAAGTACTTGGCATCAATCTTGCAGAGAGCCATGGTTTCGATCTCGTTTTATTCCTATTCTTGCCCTAACCCCGCTCTCGAGACTTCGGAAGTTCGCTCCTTAGCAACATTTTATGTTTATTGCATCGTTGTTATTTTCCCCAGTTACGATTGTTTTAAGATAAATGATGGCTCGTCCCGTTATTCTTACAGTAGGAATAATGTTAGAGATTCCTGCGGAATTTTCTCGATGATTCGGCGATTATGGCGTAATGTTCTGGTTTGAGTTGGAACTACTGAGCAAGTGAGAACTTTTTTCAGCTGTAAAACAAGTAATATTTTTTCAAATAATGAAAGAGGATTTTTGTATTGGCCGCATTGTGTAATTTTATATGGAAAATTGCTGTCATGCGATCTACAGAAAAGGAATTGTTATTCATTTATGCGTGGCTTATTCGATGATGATAGCGTTAATGTTCTGGTTTGAGTTGGAATTGCGATGCAAGTGAGAAAATGGTTCAACCATAAAGTGAATACTATTTTTCGAAATAATATAAGGCGCTTTTATGTTAGTTGTCTTACTGCATTTTGTATGAAAAGTTGGTGTTGTAAAAAGCTATTAAAACATGTATTGTTGCTCATTTATTGCTTCTTCTAATTTCTAAAAATCAACTCACCCATAATGATCATTTTTACTGGAAAACAGATTTTGGTGCAATATAATTATTCACTCTGCATAAATTTAGATTTAGGAGACCTACTCAGTTTATTATTATAATAATGAATTGGCATTCAAAATATATTTTCATTCATTTGATTTGACATTCTGACAAGACAATTTAATAAGTATTACTTTTTTTATTTAAATTTTAACTTACTTAAATTTTTGTTGAAGTTTTCCTTTTACAATTTTTGTGTACTTTTATATATTCAAAAAATGAGCATTTTTTTTATATAATTTTTTTTTTCTTAGTATTTCTATAATTTATATAACTGAGTGTTAATAGAAGTTCATATAAACATTCATATATACACTGATTGTATATATATGAACTTATATTCATTAAAATTTATTCAAATTTTTAAATTTTTTAAAGAATTTTAAAATAGTTTATTCATAAAGGGGAGAGATAATGTATCATTTTCCCATAACCTTAGAAATCTTTTATTTTATTGCTACTCTTATTTCACAAATGTAAGAAATTTTGTTTTAAAAATATTAATGCAGAATTTATTCATTGAAGGTTTATGCCACTGATGGGGACTTGGACAGAAATTCCGAGATCTTATATTTTCTTACTGGTCAAGGTATTGAAGACAAAGTTGAGGATAGCAAGTTTGCTATTAATGATACTTCTGGTGAAATTTATGTTCTTAGACCTCTGGACAGAGACTTACCACATGGACGCTCTCAGTGGCGTTTCACTGTGTATGCTACAGATGAAGGTGGAAAAGGCCTTGTGGGCTATGCTGATGTTCTGGTTAATCTCAAGGACATTAATGATAATGCCCCGTTTTTTCCCCAAGCCATTTATACTGGAAATGTTACAGAAAATGGCACTGCTGGTAAAATTCTTTTTGTCATTGATTCCCTTTTGTTGTTATTCGCCTTTTGTTACTATGTAGTGTAACATTTCTGTTGCATCATAAAAAAAAACATGAAAAAATTCTTTTTTTAAGTATTTGAAACAGATGTAGACTAGTGAGCTGAGAAAATTTCTAGAGCTCTCCACTCTTTTTCATAATATTTTTGTTTTATCTTATTATTTAAAAACTTTCTTATTGCGCCTTTTTAATAAACTAAAAAGTTCTGAAAACATTTCAACAATTTTTCAAAAATTAGATACATAAATTCCCTTTCCTAAGCAACTTGTCAAAAAATTACATGTAGTTTTTTTTTTATATATAAAATTTATTATTACCATTTTTCAGAGAAGTTTAAATCTAGTTACACATAAGTGTATTATTGCATAATTTATTTTTCAGTTCTCCTTTGAATAAATAAATAATTCTAAATTCGATAAAATTTATTTGTTATCAAGGAAATTTATTCAACATTTTTTCCTTAAACCAATTTAGAATGATGTTATATATAAAAGTTTTTACTTTATTGTTAATCATTTTCCATGCCCTTATCAACAGTGTCATTATAAATTGCCAAAATAATGTCGTAACTTACTTTAATCAAAAAAAGTAAATTACTCTGCTACTCATCTGAAAGCAGCTCCCAAATTAAACTTTGTGTTTCCTTAAAAAATTCTGAGAAATTTGCTAAATTTCCCTCACTTGAATTAAGTATTATAATTCAACACTCTTCTAAAATATCTACTGCACTACTACTGATAGTAATATTTGACTGTATTCAACTAGTAATATTAAGTAATAGAAGAAGATTATAGCTGTAGTTATATCCAACTTTAAATATAGTGGAGCGTGGCATAAGTACATTAACATGACTTCTGCAGCATTAAATCACTCACTTCTAAGGAAAGGGAATAAGCATTAATGAACTAAGTAATTTAAATTATCAGAGATTGTATCTGAACAATTTATTATTTATTTAATATATTTACTATTTTTAGATTTTAACATTTAACTAAAATTGTAACTGACTGGTAATAAAAGGCTTTTTAAATTAAAAAAAATATTCCTATCAGTCTACAACACTATTTCAAAATATCTACTGCACTACCTACTAATAATTATTTTGTTTCATTTTAGTGCTTATATTTTCTTATTGAATAATATTAGATCAATATTTTAATGCTGCGCGCTTTTTAGATTTCAATCCAACACATGTCTTTATTAGAAATGAAATTATTTGTTAGGTGAAGCAATTTAAAAACATCGGACAAACTATTCATTTTATAACTCTTGGTGCTCTAGTAATATTCAACTTTATATATTTTAATATAGTGAGCATGATTTAAGTATATTAACATGATTTTTGCAGCATCAAATATTAAATATGTCACTTCTAATGAAAGTGAGTAAGCATTCATTAATTGATTGATGAATTGAGTAATTTAAAGGATCAGAGATTATATCTGAACAATTTATTATTTATAAATATATTGCTCAGTTTTAGATACTTTCTTTTACTGTTGAAGCTCTATTTCAAATTTTAGTGTACTATTATTACCACAAGTTTTTTTTTTTTTTTTTAATATTCTTTCATGAATCTAATGTTTTGTGCTTACGACTTTTTCATTATTTGTTCACTATGTTATTCTAATTGAACATCTTTATGGTCCTGTGAGCATTAAATTATGAATGTGACAAGCTTACATAAATTAAATATTTAATAAAGCTATCTTTCTAATTGAATTGTCACCTCTTTTAAATTTTACTTATACTTTTTCTTAAACCACTGACGGTTCTACACGTAAAAAGTCTTATTTTAACTTGCAGTCTTTTCTGCATAACAAAACCGGTTTTTTCCAAGTTATTAGATTGGGAAATAGTATATAAGGGAGAAACATTCTCCTGATGTTGCCCATATGCTAAATCACCAGTGGGTTAAAGAACTTGTTTTGACTAATTGTTCTAAAAAATATCACAAAATAATACTCTCAATTTTCTCTCTAGGTATGACTGTGATGACAATGACTGCTACAGACTATGATGATCCCAATGAAGGCTCAAACGCAAAACTAAAATACACAATTGAGCAAAATCAAGTCAACGAAAATCATGAATTAATTTTTGCTATCGACCAAGATACCGGTGTTATCACGACTGCAGTGTGCTGCTTGGATCGAGAAGCAATATCAGAGTACACTATCAAAGTGGTTGCTACTGATGGCGGTGGTCTACAAGGTAAGATCAATCATTATATAAATTGTTTAATCTAAAAGAAGTTTTTTTTCACCCTTGCACCTTACTTATTGGTTTTTTTCCCTATAGGTACGGGTACAGCGACTATAAAGATAAAGGATATTAATGATATGCCACCAGTGTTCACCAAAAAGGAGTGGTATGTGCAGGTTGATGAAACTGAAGGTGATGATATTCCAGAATTACCCATCTTGGTTGTATCCGTCAAAGATGAAGATTTGTTGGAAACTAATCGTTTTAGTTACAAAGTTATTAATAATACTTTTGGTGCTGATAAGTTTACCATGGTTACCAATTCTGATGGAACTGGCTCCCTCAAGATTGCTAAGGTTTTTATTTCTTTCTCTACTGAAAATAAGTTATGATAAATTAATTTTGATTTATTTCTCCTATAATGATAATTTGATTTTAAATGATAATTTCGTTTTAAATTATTTCCTGCTTACTCTCTCTACAAAATAGTACCATTTGATTTTTAAAATAGCCATGAAAGGCCTTATCTCTTGGAGCTTTATGTTATTTAATAAATTGAAATTTAATGCTTTTTTTCTCTCTGATTTTCTTTCCTGATTTTTTTGGTAATTTGTTTTATTTTTTTGTATCTAAGTTTAATTCTAGTAATGAGTCACACTTCAATAAAATAAAGTGGGAGGTCACAACTTAATTTATTTACTGAGAATACTGAATATGAGAATAAATTTGATGAAATTTAGTCAATGAAATTAAAACAAAACAGGAGACTAGGTGATTTATATAATCTAGATAATTATTTAGTTATTTTACAATACAACAATATTAGATTAAATGTGATGAAATTTAGTCAGTGAAATTAAGCAAAAATCAAATGGGATATGGTGATTTATATAATTTACTTTGTTATTTTGTGATACAGAGTTATCTATTTTATTGAGCAAATCTTACACAGAATAACTTTATTTTGTCTATTGTAGAATATATTATGATAGTTTGTGAAACTATCGTAATTTAATAATCCTTTCAATCAGAATAACTGAGGATAGTTTCATTTTTATTGATCCTTTGTAGCACCTTTTCGTATTTCGTAGTCTTAATCATTATTAACTTGTCATTATTGACAATTGCTGATATTTTAAATGCATTTTTTTAGCCTTTGGATTATGAAGATCCAATGCAAAGGTATGGATTTAACATCACCATTCAAGTGAGCGATCATGGAGGAGAGACTACCAATGCCTATCATATTGACTATTCAAAAGTTTTCATCAGATTAACTGACATAAATGACAATCCCCCAGAGTTTTCAGAGCCTTTGTTAAGAGCCAGTGTTGAAGAGAATGTGACTGTGGGCTATGTCATTAAAAAGTTCCAAGCTCGTGATCCAGACCAAGCTGGAAAGTCGATGGTCAAGTATGTAACACTTTTCTCTGCATATTGCTACTTGTGTTTTGAACTTATAGGCTCTTTTTAATATGTGTTTCATATGGCTTTATTAGGAAATCAATCCATATAAATTTGACAATTCACTGCATCACAAGGGAGCAGAAAATTATTATTTTTTGTAATGTGAATTCAAATCAACAGTAACATATTAAAAACGATATTTTAAACTTTTCTAAAATCAAAATGTCTTAATATTCATTAGTTCCTGTGGGACAATAATTATAAACTAGAAGAATATTTATATGCTGGCAGTTATGCACATTGTGCTGTAATTGTAAAAATTTATTGAGTACTTATCTGGATACAAAGATAAAAAACTGTTAGACATAAAATATCTGCTATAGAAAAATTGGGATTTATCATAGTAATAACATAAATGCTTCTTATATATAATGTTGAATATAAAAATATATTAATCTATAAAATATTATTATAAGGGAGAAAAGAATATTACTGGATTTTAGTTTTTTTTAATATTAATATTGTTATTAAATCACACACTTTCTACCTTTCTTTGTCATTTTTTTTCGCTACTTTCTCCTTTCTTCAATTATAGAAATAATGTGCTTAAAAATATACAATTTGAAATATATTTTTTTCATGCTCATGAGTTTTTTAATATTTCAAGGTACAGTAGGGAACCGATTATCCGGAACGATCGGGACCATTGCTATTCCGGATAACTGATTTTTCCGGTTTTCTGAATCGCTACAAAAAGCCGTTTGTTTATTGTTAAACCCAACAAAAAAAATGTTTTTTTGGAAATAATCTTAAAGAGAAGAATAAACGATGAAGGAATACACTAATAATTATTTCCAAAATGATGGTAAGGTAAACATCTTTCGAAAAAGAAAAAAAAAATCCTAAAATCTTATGAGGAAAAAAAAAATTTTTTTTTAAAAATGGCTCAAAAATTTATCGAATTTCGTTCCGGTTTTTTGGTTTTCCGGTTTTCTGATTTCCGGATAACGGGTTCTGTACTGTAGTATTTTTCTTTTGAATACTTTTAAAAAGAACAGAAGATATTTTTTTCCTTCTAAAAATGTAAGATTTGAAATGTATTGAGAATGTTTTCGTTTGTTTTTTTAATTATATTTTAGAGGTAATTCATTTATTTAATTTTATATTATTTATTAAAAATTGTAATTGAAGCTTATGTGAATTTTCCATTTGACAGATACTCTATTGATCGATCATCTGATAAAAAGAGGCAGTTCAAAATTAGTCAATTAGGTGTTGTTACTATTCAAAGACCCTTAGATAGAGAAACAGTCAATCGTCATGATATCAGGATACTTGCAACTGATGATGGTATGTTTTAAATATATTGCTAATTTGAAGAAATTATTTAATATGTACTTACAACAAATATTTAGTGCTATGAAATTAGTCTACAATAAGGATTTCAAAAAAAAAATTCTATTTTAACAGTTTCATTTAAAATTACTAGAAATTGTATTTAAAGTATTTTTAAACTGCAATATTGTTTCAAATTATTAGAATTATTATATATCTATTTGATTACTTTAAGTAAACAAGGTTTAAATTGTTAATATGTCTGACTTTGAATTCAAGGAAAGTAGACCACTTGAAAATTGTGTCCAATTTTTTATTGTAAGCATCTAAAAAATAATTGGTTTGAAACATTATTGAAAAATCAGCATCTGTAAACAAAAAAATTTTCATATTAAAATTCGGTCAATTTAAAATATAAATTTTGAAACTGATATTACAGCATATTCATTATTCAAATTTGCTTTTCTCTTTTTGTTTTTGAACACAATATTATACTGGTGTAACATAATAAAATAAACCATATTAGTTTCCTCCCATCTAGAACAATTTAGTATGATTTACCTTCTGAGCATTAATCCAAACTTCTCCAGGCTTTTTCCTAACTTTTAGCTGCAGGCTTTCCTGTATCAAATAACCGATTTCTCCCATGTTATTCAATGGAAGAATAGTGCAAAGCAGGGAAATTTTCGTACAATTTTACCCAGATGCTTAATTCTTGGAGAGTTTAGGTTTAAGAAATTATAATTCATATAGGTTGATAATTCATATGAACTTTAAAAAGTAAAAAACTGCTGAAAATTTTCTTAAATTTTCCATAATATAAACCTTTTTTTTTTTTCTTCTGAGAAACATCTTTTTTCTTTCAAAATATGCTATGTGATAAGAATAATATTTATTGCCTTTGTATGATAAATAAGTTACAATGGTGTTTACTCATTTAATTTAGGTACACCTACAAGAACGGCTACAGCCACCTTAATTGTGGATGTAATAGATGTGAATGATAATCCTCCTCATTTCCGAGAAGATTACAGGCCAGTGGTGATGGAGAATGTGGAGCCCCCTGTCAAAGTGATTGAAATATTTGCTGATGATCCTGATCTGGCTCCAAATACCAAACCTTGGTTTAAATTTAGATTGGATACTGATGCTGATGACACCATCAAGAACTCCTTTAGAGTTGTTTTTAACAAAGGTAGTTGCACATTTTAAATTTATTATTTTTTCAGTTAGATTAAACTGTGTTTTATAACCAAATTTTTTTTTCTAGTTTTTCGTTGATAGCAATTTTTATGAAACTTTTGATTAAATGCTTAAATTAAAACTTTTAAATTTGTAACACAAACATAATCCATTGCTACTTACTGATTTCAACTTCAAAATTATTTTTTATAATTTGAAAAGTATTTTTCATTTGTCGGATACTACAGATTTCTGTAATTTTTTTTTAGTTTTAAGTACTATTGGCACAAAACAACAGAAATTGTTTGAAAATTTTGAATAAATAATGTTACCAAATTTATTTTAAATACTTGTTTATTAATTGGTTATTTTTTAAATGATCTATTGCTTTTAGTACCTTTTTGCAATTTTGGGATGAACCTTTATTTTATCAAATATGAGCAAGCAATCTCTCCTACTTTCGTAAAACTCTTAATATTTTTACAAAATTAATAATATTAAAGCTTATTTTGCCTCGATAAAAATAGAATATCAATTAAGTGTTTTTTGTTTTTTTTCTGCTGGGACAATGAAAAATAATCTTTAATTCCGACTTTTATTTGATTAAAAAATTCTTTTTATATTTGTAATTCTTAAATTATTCACTGATACTCTTCAAAGAAAAAAATAATCTTAAAGTTGTTTTGAATTATATTAAACAAAAGTACATAGTGGGAAAATGTTTTGTGGCATTTTTGAGATTTTAATTTCAACTTTAGTTGCATAGCAACAGCTACAGAAAAAAAAAAGGTTTCTATACATATAGTTGAACAAAGATCTCTTTTTAAAACTAATATTCCTTACTTTTTTTCCAAAATATTTAAAGACTAGGTTATCTGTAACAAACATAAAAATATTGCCATGCATAAAAACATTGTGAAGCATATGTAAAGAAATAAAAGTTTTCAGTTTCAATAACCAAACACATTAATTTTTTAACTTTTTCTCTGGTTTGTATTTTCACAAAGCTCTAAAGTCAGTCATGAAAATTAATGTACAGTAGGGAACCGATTATCCGGAACGGTCGGGACCATCGCTATTCCGGATAACTGGTTTTTCCAGTTTTCTGAATTGCTAAAAAAAGTCGTTTTTTTTTTATTGTTAAACCCAACTTAAAAAAAAAAAATTGGAAATAATCTTAAAAATAAAAAAAACGATGAAGTAATACACTAATGATTATTTCCAAAATGATGGTAAGGTAAACATCTTTAAAAAAAAGAAAGAAAAATCGTAAAATCTTATGAGGAAAAAAATTTTTTTTTTTTTAAATAGCGAGAAAATTTAGCGAATTTTGTTCCGGTTTTTTGGTTTTCTGATTTCCGGATAACGGGTTCTGTACTGTATTATTCTCAATTAAGACTCATTTTAAATGAGAAATCAAATCAACATCATCTTTGACCCCATGATTTAATATGTAATTTCCTTTTCTAGATGGTGATAACGGCAAAGGTTCAGCTACTGTTTACACTAAAGTTAAATTTGATCGAGAACAACAGAAAGAATACCATGTTCCAATCGTCATAGCAGATAGTGGTGTTCCATCCCTCACTAGTACAAACACATTAACTGTCATCATTGGTGATGAAAATGACAATGTTATGTACCCTGGTGAAAAAGACATTTTTGTGTACAGTTATCAAGGCATGTATTTTAATTTTAATGCACTAATTACTTGAAATTTTTTTAGCTCCCAATATTGGCTTTGACATATAATATGATCTTTATGATACTGACTATAAAAAAAAAAATTTTAATAATTTTATATTACTATCATCTTATTTTGTAAATTCTTCCATACAATTTTTATTTTTTTAGACGTTTTGCAAAATTTAACGGAATATTTATTTTTTGAATGAAACATTATTGATATGTCTTGATTTTTGTATCCTAAATTTTGACTTAAAATCACTTTTGCTACAATGTGCATAAAACATTTACTGTTCTGATCATTGGTTTTATAATAGTATTGTTTTTTTTTTTTTATGTCATGGTTTTTCTTGCATTAGTATGCATTAAAAATTTACTGTTCTAAGCATTAATATGTATTGATTTTCTCTGAATTGCTTAATGATTTGATTCTAGGATTCCTTATTTTCAAATGTCCATTTTTTACCAAATGTTCAAGTTACATCCGTGATTCTAAATCTTATCTCTTTTCTCTAATCTCCCACGAGAGCGCAACTGCTTCCATTTCCAGTTTTGCCTCTCCTCTTTTGTCATTGGTCGGTATTACCTGTGTTTTAACTTGTTCCTCACTTCTGTAGTATTCCCTTTCATGCACTGATTTGAAACAGTCTTCGTTTATAACTTAGTTATCGCCTTATTTAATGTGTTACAAAGGCTCTTAACTGCCACTGTTGAGGATCATAGTTCTATCCCCGATGGCAGCTTGAACCTCATTAAGCTTTAGATTGATGTACCAACTTTAGACTGAGTACCAGCTTGTTGCAAGGTACAGGCAGCCAGTGTGTAACCCTGTCCGAATTGCACAGTCATTCCATTAGTCTCAAAATATAGAGCCTTAACACTCATGACCCCCTGGCTATGAAACAGACTGTTGTAGCAGTGCTTTACATGCGATGCTTTCTACTTATAAAGCATTGTGCCCCACTTTATTAATTGTATGGTTTATATAAATTCTTATTAGTTGCTTACTTATCATATTATATGCCACATTGGTGTATTCTTTGAAATATTTATAATAAAAGAAATATCAAACATTTTTATGTTATCCAAAACATGTCAATATTAACAACAACAAAAAATATTGCATAATTTTAAGAATATAATAAATTTAAATTTTAGCCCTATAAATATTCAAAATAAATTATGATAAACTTTATAAAATTATCGCATCTTTTATTTCTTTGGTTTGTCATTTTTTGCATAACGTAAAACTATATTGACATACAATCTTTCAGGAGCCACAAAGCCAACCAGACCTGTTCCAATTGGTAGAGTACATGTGGAAGATCAAGATGATTGGGATATTCCAGACAAAGTTTATTATTGGAAAGATAATCAACAGCATCAAAATTTTGACTTAAATGTTGAAACTGGTGAAATATCAATGATAGAATTGATAAGTGGAGGAAAATATACTTTGCATTTTACAGTTATTGATCAAAAACGGAATGAAGAAGTACCAGCAACTGTAACTGTTACAGTCAAAGAGATACCTGAGGAAGCTGTATTTAGTTCTGGTTCTATAAGGATTGCTGGTGAGCTCAATAATTTTCTTGTTGTTTCGATAGTTTCTGACTGTGGTTGAGAAACAACTAGTTTTCACTTTTTGGAATTTATTATATGTTCTAATAAATAACATCAGGTCCTAATTAGAAAATACTAAACATAAAAATCACTTTCTATTTTACTTTTTTTAGCGAAGCACTGAAACTTATTTTGAAAAAACTCAATGGAATCAATTGGTTGTTTTTGTTACATTTTAAATACTTTTTTTCATAAATCAAATATCAGTGCTTCATTTTTTATATTATTTATGATAACCTCAAGTAAAATTATTAGCTTTTAACTTTGTCAATATTTATAGATGCTTGTTTGAAATTACATTTAAACTTTTCTTCAATGTAGTGAATACTTTTTATAGTTTTATCTCATTTACTTCATAACTGTCTTATATTTAACTTGGGTTTCGATAGAATGAATATTGTCAATTATGTAATATACTTACTTTAATTATAAGCAATAAGTGAAATGTGTGATAGGTATAAAGTGAATTTTTAATTTATTGTTGTGATAATTATTCATCATGTTTGAGTTAATCTTAAAGTGGTGTTCTAAGTTGTCATTAAAATACTGCATAAAAATGTTTTTTAAATTAACTAACAATGTGCTGTTATTTAAGGTCATTCTGATGAAGATTTTATCAGGATATGGGACTGGAAAAATAAAGTTCAAGTTGAAAGCAAGTACAACAAATTTAGAGAAATCTTAGCTAAGTTGTTAAAAGTGAAAAAAGACAATGTAGATATATTTACTGTGCTCAAGCATCAAGACCATCCTCCTATGGCAGACATTCGATTTTCTGCTCATGGATCGCCTTATTATAAAGCTTCTAGATTAGATGGACTTATAGGTCTTCACAGAAAAAATGTAAGTTCTTTTTTTCTCAAATACTACCTAAATTAAGATTTCTGTTATTTATTTATTTTTTAAGCATTTTTTTTTTTTTTTTTTTTTTTTACTTAGAGAATTTTTGTTTTCTAATAATCAGTTAAAGCAGTGTTATTAGCTTATAAAATTTCAAGTACAGTGTTATTAATTTGTAAAATGTAATGAATATTAGTTATTATTTATTATACTATAGCCAATCTTTATATGCTTAAGTATAAATGTTAAGTTAATCTTTTACTATTAATATACATAGCATTTTATGGTCTTGTTCAAATAGTATATTTTGTGATGTGAGACATTTTCAATCTTGTGTTATAATTTATAAAAAAATCAAAAAAACTGTAGATAGAGATTTAGTGATTTACCTTTATTTGGAAGCTTTGGGTGCAAGAGCCAGATAAACCTTTTTTAGTGGAAATCTGTTGTAGCTGCTAAAAGTAAAAAAATATTAAATTTTTTTTTAAACTCTGTCATAATTGTTTTTGATGTGTCAAGTTAATTTAAATATTGGAGCTAAAAATTATCATTTGTACATCAATTGTATTTTCTGGCTGAGCTATCAAAATTCTATTTGTGAAATTAAATATTTTGTTTAATAAATTAAAGCTTCAGTTATTTTATTTCATTATCATTCTCAAACTGTGTGCAATTATTTTTCTTTACTCTATCTAGATTGAACAAATTGTTGGTGTGAACATTACAATGGTGAACATAGATGAATGTCTTTATGAAGAAAAGTGTGAGGACAGTTGCACAAACTATTTGAGAGTTTACGGTGATCGTCCTGCAACTGTGAATGCTAATCGCACTTCCTTGGTTGGTGTGCGTGCCCAAATTGAGGCTGAGTGTACTTGCGGAGCAAGGGATTTTACTTCAATGGAATCGTGCAAGACAAGACCTAAACCTTGCTACAATGATGGAATATGTTCAGATAAATTTGGAGTTATAAAGTAAATAGTATTCTTATGCATTACTTATTGCTTTTAGACTTTTATGTCCTTTGTAATAGATTATTGTTCTACTTAATATATTTCTGTAACTTTCATTTAAAGATGTTTTTTTCTTCTATTTAAGTGTGTGAAAATTTTGATCTCTTCTTATCTATTAATTTTTTAAAAAAATGTAGGAAATTTGCGTTCAACTTATTGCTGAAATTATGGGCTATTTCTTTAAATTAATTTACAAACTAAAAAATTTCTCAGTGTGTCCTATTTGTTGTTTCAAAAAAAAAAGTTAAGATATTCTGAAATTTAAAAAAAAATTTCCATTTAAAAAATATTTTCAGTATTGCTTTTATTTTGAATTATTTTTTAAGCACCTGACAAATTTATTGTGTTACAAGCTGTTGTATAGCAGAAGTTTGCAATTTAAACAAACTTTTTTACCATATTTCTTACAGAAATATACAAATATAGGGTTTTCTTATTCTATAATAGTAGTTGAAAACAGCATCAAGTTCAATATTTTTAATTGTATATTGCTTAATTATTTATTTTTTTAAATATTCATGTGGTTACTTGCTTTACACACATTACTATAACTTTTTATCTCAAGAATTAGTTAATTTAGAATTACTATATATTTATAAATATTATAAAAAAAGATATCTTATTGTTATGATTTATTATTATTATGCTTTGTTAAATTTTGAAAAATAAAATAACATAAAGATTTACTTATATTTAATGTAAATGGTCATTTAATGATGACTTGTATAATTTGTTTGCAATTTATTTTACATAAATTGTACCAAGATTTGTAATTTAGATTTAACATATCTCTTTTATTATATTCATTCTAAACACATAGTAATTGCTGATAGTTTCCCTTCATAGAGTTCACATTAATTGGTATGATATTTTAGATCCCTATAAATAGGCTATGTCCTGAGCAAAAAATTAAATTTTGTATCTATAGCAGAATGTGTTGTTTTAATTTCTAAAAAAAGAAATTTAGTATTAAATCTCTGACAGTTGGCTCTCAAAGCATAAAATTTATAAATATTGATTCATATCACTATTATTTGAATGTTTTAACTATTTCATATCATGATTGAAGCGTCGAATTTCCCTATCTACGAATTTATGATCTTAATTTATTTTTATTTTTTTTAAGAAGTGAAACAACATATACTGCTAAGCTAGTATGCTAAAAAATATTTTGCATTTTGCACAGTACATCACCTGTTATGGGACTCTAAATACATCGTGTTAATTTGTGTAAACCATGTTAATTAATGTTTAATGCATGTATGCATTAAAATTATAAGAACTTCTATTAACAAAATAATTTTTTATAGGTAATTATTACCTATTAAATTCTGTTATAATTATGTATCCTAATGTAAATTCATTTTTCTAATTAATATTCATTATTTTGTAGCTGTACCTGTAGTGAAGGATTTAATGGACCCCAGTGCCAAAAGACCACTCGCCATTTTGGTGGAGATGGTTTTGCTTGGTTCCCACCTCTTCAGCAATGTGAAACCTCACACTTTAAGTTAGAATTTATGACTCAGAGTCAAAATGGACTTTTGTTGTACAATGGCCCTATATCTGAAGCAGACTCCAATGAAAAAATTGTCCAGGATTTCTTTTCTCTGGAGCTTCAGAATGGTAAACCTAGACTCCTCATCGATTTTGGTTCTGGAACCACGGAAATAATTATTGATACAGGATCAAGTTTAAGTGATGGAGGCTGGCATCAACTAGATGTATTTTGGGATAGAGAGGTGAGGTTCAACTAAATATATATGTATTTATATTTTATTTCTATTTACAAATTCCTTAATGTACAAGCAACTAGGGTTAATATGACCATTTTTCAGTTTTTTTTTTTTTTTTTCCTTTTTTTTTAGTTTAAATTTTTTCAAAATTGCATTGTTGTCATCCTGATATTCTTGGTTATTTTGTCCATTTAATATTTTTAACTTCTCTTTGTAAATGCAATGTGCAATTTTTATAAGGTATATATTTGTGATATATAGATATACTATTAAAAAGGATGAGTGACATCAGTCCCAGAAGATTTTAGTAAACAATTTTCGTGAGACTGATAATCATATAAACTATCACAGTTCTCTGTTAGTTTCAACTCTTGTATTTTCAGACTATGGTTTTTCTTTCTTGCTAAAAAAAACTTTACTAAAGTGGAACAAAAATTTTAATGTGTGTGAATACCCTTGTAGGAAAAAAAAATTATAAAGCAAACATTGTAAATTTATTGTAATATTCATTTTTAAAAATAACTACACAATGTGACAAATATTATTTAGGGCATGCATGTTTAGTTCCTTAATTCACGTACTATAGTTTCTTACTTTATTTTCTAAGAATTCATTTCAAATTATGTTAAAACAGTTTCACGCTTGCCATGACTCCTAATGAGTAGCTTAATGAATGTTTCTTAGGTTTTCCTCTTCTTGTAAGGAATTTGTCTTAACTTGTACTTTTTATTACTTTACTTTGACCTTTCATATTTTGCATGTTTGAAAATCTCACACTTTTTCCTTGCCATAAGTTAAAGATAACTCAGTGCTACTCTACTTTATCTTATACAGGACCCATTCATAATTTATAGGAAAAGCTTGCTCTTGTATCATTTTTTCAAAACAGTCCATTTTTATTAGGGTATTTTTCCTGTATACAATTTTTCTGTTTATTAATGTTTATTCTATAGAGCCATGGTAAGTTACTCTATGGAACCATTTAGAAATTAAGAATTGCTAAGTTTCACAATGATTAAACATAACTTTTTTTAAAAAAATTTCTTATTGATTAAATAAATGACTTCTTTTTAGACGGTGAGAATGGTTGTAGATAACTGCATGTCTGCTAGAAATCAAGATGTTGATCCTCCTGTGTCTAACCATGCTATGTGTGAAGGCACTGCAGCTATTAAGCCTTTCAATGAATTTTTAAATGTTAATGGACCCCTGCAGTTAGGTGGTGTCAATCATCCGGTACTTTCCTCCTACAAATGGAACTTTGCTCACACACGGAAAGGATTTAATGGTTGCATTAAAAATGTCATCCATAATAGTGAAGTAAGTCTCACAATATTAAGTGCATTTATTTTTTCACTATTTTATACCATATTTTATTGAATAATTTTGTGAGAATTTGTTATACAAATAATCTTAATTGGAAACATGTTTCTGTTAAATTTTCTTCTCTTTTACTTATCATTAAATAAAAGAAAGGTATTCTGGAATGTCATTTAAATATAAAATGGAGTATTTTAATTAATTTTAAAAGAATATTTCCCTGGCATTTTATGTTTTCTTATGCTGAATAAACTTTTAAAAAAATTTCTTTTAATGAACAATGTAAATGAAATACCATTTTTTTTCAATAATTTTTTTTATTTAAATTAGCAAGTTAATATTGTTTTGGGATCTATTATCTTGTTTCTGAAACTTTTATTTTGAGTTAATAATGTTGTGTTTAATATTCTCTTGGATTGAAATTTCAGGAATAGCCTCCTTAACTATCCAGAATGATAAAAAATGTGAAATGTTGCATAGTTTTATAACTAAATATATATATATATTTTACAATAAATTAATGGAAATTTTCTAAAACTAGGGGAAAATATAAATTGTAAAGTTTAAGGGAAAAAACAATGCATTTTGTTTGATGTAAATTTCCAAGACCAAGACAGGATTCATCGTAGTTTTTATGCAATGTCACCAGTTACTTTGGGCTATGGAAACCCATTCTACTGAAAAGTCTGTTTTCGATAGTTTTTTCTAGCATCATGGTTTTTTCAATTTTAATATATTTTATGTAATATTATTATAAAACTGGTTTTTCAAACATAAGTTATTATTCTTTTTGATGTCCCCTCTTATGACTATTCTATTGTAAATTTACTTCATTTTTCGATCATTATTTGCCAAGTACTTTTTTTTGCCATTTCCTGTGAGTCTATCAAACACCGATATACGATAGTCCTTTGATTAGGCCATTAATTTACATGTTTCTGTAATAATTTTTTTTATCATTTCCACCTGGTTTTTCGTAGTCCAATTTTTTATTAACGATATTAATTTCACACTCTAATATTGATTTAAATAATCACTTTTGACACACTTGATTCACAACTCAATTGTAGTAAACCAGTGTTATTTTCCAATATTTTTAGATAGCTTCTCATTTTTTCCCCCATTTCATAGTTATTTTTCAAATTCTGATTTTTTCTTATATGACGTCATTATACACCAATTTCAGACTTGAGTAAGCCCATTATTCTGTCATAAATCCATGTCATTTCTGTTCATTTTTTGACATTTGTTACAGTAAATTGTCATTTTTTGGCTATACATTTATCTTGTTATCAGAAGTTTCCACCTAGTTTTTAAAATGTTTATATTTTTAAGTCACACAAAATGTGAAAAAATTACTTATTTTTAATTTTTTGTTGTTTATTATTACATGAAGTCTTAAATTTGCCGTTACCCATTTTGTTGTGAAACAACTGAATAGGCTTGAAAACTTAAAAAAGTTTTCATGGTTACTACTGAAATCTTGTTCAGGAGTTAGTCTGTTAAAAATTTTTTATTCAACTGAATTGTAAATTGGTAGTTTTCATTAATAAATGTAATTTTTTTTAATCGATCATTCTATAATTTCTCTTGTTGATTTTTCCAAACTATACAAATACTTATTCTTATCACACTTAGTATTTCGTAGGACTGCTCGGTGAATCTTAACATCCTTGTAAAAATACAATTGATTTTGTAAATAGTTCTATAAACTTCATTTTTTATATTTTTTTAAAAACATGTATGAACATTTATCATTTAAAACTATTATCTTTTCTTAACAGATGTACGACTTGGCTAATGTTGGCGAATCTCAAGATAGTACTATGGGATGCCCACCTGCTGAAGAAAATTGTTATATCAATCAAGTTGAAAGGTTCTGTAAGCACGGCACATGTGTGGGTAATTACACTTCTGCAAAATGTGTATGTTTTCCTGGTTATCATGGAGAACGTTGCAATATAAGTAAGAAATATTTCATTATTTTTTAGAATAATTGTCAAATTCATAAATAGTTTATCATTGTAAATGCTGTTAAACTCATTTAATGCAAAAAGCAAGGCAATTAACTCATTAAATCAATAGACTTGCCTGACTCTCTACCTGAGTGAAGGGAAATTATTGAAAAATAATCCACCGAAGATACTAAAAAAAATGTTTAACACTATTGATTCCTTGTTGCATCCAAGTTATGCTCATAACAACAAAGTTTTATATTTGCTTTTTTTTTAACATCAAACTAAAGAATTTATTTTTAAAAAAAAATTAAAGAAACTCTCATTTTACCTAGAATCTTATTATGTTGGGATTTGCAATAAACATGCTAAACTGTGAAACTTGGTATTATCACAAATATTTTTTAAACTTAGCTATTTTATCAAGAATTTTATGTTCGAAAGATTCTGTGTGAAATAATTCACTTTCAATCTCTTTTTTTTCATAATTATTTACTATTATTATAATTTTTTCATTTACTAAGTTAAAATAATTTTAAACATTTAAGTCATCTGACCATCATTATCAAAACACAAATGTGAGTTCTCCATCATTATGGCTTTAATATTTTAAATAAATATGAAATTGTAATTAAATAGGTATCTATTATTAGTACTAAAAAAAGCTTCATCATTTTTTAGAAACTCAAGAAAAAATGTTTGAGCAAAACAGTTACATCCGCTATGCTTTGACATTCAATCCTGGGGAATACTCTAATGAAATTCGACTGAGTTTCAGAACGAGGCAAAAGCAAGGAGAATTATTCAGAGCAACAAGCAAGCACGGTCGTGAATATCTAGTACTAGAAGTAAGCATACTTTAAATTTGTGTTTTATATTGTTTATCTGCATCGTTTTTGTTTAATGCTTAATTACTTTTCACTTTAGATACGGAACAGAACTCTTAGATTCCGCTTCAATCTAAATCATTACAAATCACAAGAACAAGAGCTGTGGTTGCCAGATGTCAGTGTCAGTGATGGCCAGTGGCACTCTGTTAAAGTACAGCGATTTGGTAGTACGGCCAGTATATCACTCGATGGTGGTGGTGGCAGACGCTATAGCGAACTTTTGGGTTACCAAGGTTTTCATCAAGAGTTGGTTATTGAGAAGCAAAATGTCATAGCTGGCGGAGATGTTCAGTATCTTGCTCCTGGTGTTACCATTGTGGATAATGATTTCCAAGAAGGTGAATATGGTGTTTTAGCATGTTTTATTTATTAGTTATGGGACTCTTTGCTGAAATATATCAATTGTTTTGTAGGTTGCTTGGATGATATAAGATTGGATTCTAGGTATTTACCCATGGAAAATGGTTCTCAAAGTGCCATTGTTTTAGATTCTCAAAATGTGAAATCTGGATGTCCATCCAATAACCCTTGTCTTGGTGTATACTGCCCACCACCCTTTGTATGTGTGGATTTGTGGATGATTTATGAGTGCACGTAAGTAATGAAACTTATTTTTTTTTTCAATTCTATGTGAAAATAAATGTCGAAAAAGTATGAAAATGTAGATAAGCCTAATGATAGTTTTATGCAGCAGTTCCCAACTAGTGTTCCTCAAAAACCTAGGGTTCCATGGAAGAGTGAAAGCAGCTCCGCAAGTTAGAACTTTTTATAACCAGTGATGAGATTTAAAATCTCCGATTTTATTTAGATAAAATATATATTTCATAATTTATTTAATCTTTTGGTTTTCTTCATAAAATTATTTAGAGTAAAATGCCAATGAAATAAAAATGATCTTTTTTTAAAAGAATAACCTTTCTCATACTCATATAATGAACAAATTATGAAAAGAACTAGCATTTATAAAATATTGCATTAGTATTTCCTATCGCACTTTTCAAAACAAAATAAAATAATTCTTTAATAAAGAAATATGTTTCCCTTTATAGCCATTTTCAACAGCAGTTTTTATCTCGAAGTAAATCATAGTTCCACTTATTTTATTCATTTGTGTAACATGAACTGAAAATAAATTCATAACTAGACTGGATATAGAACAAGGACTGCAACTTTAACTGTCAGAAATAAAACCTAATTTCAGATTATTAATGGTAAAACGATGTGAAATCTTTATTCCTCTAATTAAATATTTTAAAAATAGTTTTTTATAGCTTATAACAGACATAATTACCTTAATGAACTTTATTTATAAAGTTAAGAATCATCTGAAAGGAGGTTGATTACTTAGGGTTCCATAACCGAAAAAAACTGGGATCCACTGACTTAATGTATGATAATTGGTATAAAACTTTAGAAGTGTTCGGGAAAAACGAAATGTTGGCGTTGAATTCACCAAAGAAATTTTTTTTTTAAAAAAAACTTTCTAAAATGACAGAAAACAGTCTTTTGCTGATTCACAATCTTTTTTACTTTAATAAAGCAGTTTATGTTTATTAAAACAAGGGAAAGCTATTGTATAAAAATTTGTTTTAAACAGCTGTAAAATTTATTTTATTAACATATTAGCTCATGCTTAATATCTGATCCTAAAGTTGTCTGGCGAAATTTAACACAGATTTTTCATGTTCGATCGCTATAGATGCCATTAAATTGGACATTCTTTTTGTAGATGCCCCAAAGGTTTCATTGTAACACCTGATAGGAAGGATTGCATTGATGATGATGAATGTGTGTCACAACAGCCTTGTCTCAATGGTGGTACCTGTGTCAATCTTCCTGATGGTCAAGGATATGAATGTATTTGTGGTGCTGGTTACTTTGGAATGCATTGCAATGCAGTTCGGGAAGAGAAAAAAATGCAGCTCAGTGTTGCTGCTATGGCTCTAATTATTTTCTGCATTTTTGCAGTTCTAAGTAAGTTTCATTTATTTATATCCTTAGACTCAAAAGAGAAGCTTCATTTCTCTATTTTAATTGCCAAATAAGGCTGTAGTAAGGGGATAAAATAATAGCCCTGTCTCAAGACCTGCTTAAAAACAAACCCTAAAAGTTTTCTTGTCTTACATCAAAAATACTGAATCCTTTTTTGATCACTATTAATTCTTTTGTAGTAATTAAAATGTAAAGGTTTATTTAAAATTTGCGTAAAATTATCTTGAAATGAAAATTAATATTTCTGGATAACTTTTTACTCAGGTGATATTTCCTCTTCTGTTTTTCTTTTTCCTGTTGTTTGACTTCTATAAAGCAACAATTTTGTTACCTTGTGTATGTAATATTATTTAGATTTCTTGCAATCTAGGTAATTGTTACTCTTGTTCCAATAAACTCTATATTCCACTCCTTATGTAATGTCTTTTCTTTACATATATCAATTCACTTATGTGATTTAGTTTATACTAAACAAATATTAGCCTGATTTTTGTATTGTATAAATATTCTTTGTTTTCTTACAGTCCTGGCACTCGTTGTTATGGCTTATTCACGTTTTCGATCTCCCAAACCGTATGACCAGAAAGACATCATTGATGATGTTCGAGAGAATATCATTGTGTATGATGATGAAGGTGGCGGGGAGGATGACATGAATGCATATGACATTAAGACACTACAAATTCCTATTGATGGCTATGGATCTCCAATTGGTGCTAAATCTGGACCAGAGAAGGGACCTATTAGAGAACCTCACCAGTGGCAGGGTAAGCAATTTTCCATCTTTGTATTTTTTAAAGAACTAAAGCCATTAAATTAATCCCAAGCTCATTTCTAGTATACTAAACCACCTTGATACTAATGAAAAATACCTAAGTTTGGAAATTGATTTGCAAATTTTTTTTTCTGTATATTCTTATATAAATTTACCATCTTATTAAATTCATGATTATGATAAAAATATGTTTTTATGTCACTTAAAAAACTTTAAACATTTCTTTATATGGTCACAAATTTACTATTGATCTCTCAAAGCTCCATTTTAAGTAGAGATAGAATAATTATTCCTAAAAAATTTAACATATTTATCTTCTAAGTTATTATTTATAGCTCTAAACTCTAATTAAATAGCCTTATAGAGAATAATTGAATTGTTTTGAAATTTTCAGCCCAACCAGGTGTACAGCCAGATGTAGGAGATTTCATTCGGGACCATCAGGACAAGGCCGATACGGACATTAACGTTCCTCCATTTGATGACCTTCGTAACTACGCTTATGAGGGAGGTGGAAGCTCAGCTGGTTCTCTGAGCTCTTTGGCATCCTGCTACGATGACAATGACCACGATTTCGAGTATCTCAACGGCTGGGGACCCCGCTTCCAGAAACTGGCCGACATGTACGGCCAAGGTGAAAGTGAAGAAGAATGATTAAGAGAAATGCTACATAAATCAGTTGCCACAAACATCTTCCTCATGCGTAGACATTATAAATGAAGTGATAACCATTGGGCTTTGTATTCATTAAGATTTGTCATTCTATTTCTTTCTTTTCTTAAAAAAAAAATATTTGAAAGAATTTTCAACATGTGTGAGTATTTGAGTTCTGAACTGTTGGAATCCATTTGCCCTGCTATCATTTTATTGTACTGGACTGGACAGTTGGCAACTATTTAAAAAGCCTTTCCTCTGTGATGCCTTATTCAGTGTTCAATTCCTCATGTTTTATTTTTTAATCACGTGGAATAGTGTCACTGAACTTATCTTCATCATATTTTTATCATAATTCATTGATGATGCCATAAAATGTAGGTTTAAAGTATGCAGATGCTGCCAACATTAATGTATAGATGTATACTTTGAACCAAACAATGTGTCACTCTCAACTTTAATCTTTCTTTGCTGGTTAAAAGTAAGGTATGAAAAAAAATTATTACAGCTTTATTATATTCATCATTGTGTCAAGCATTTCATTGATAATCATAGCGTGGTGTTGTTTTTATTTAAGTATCTTTTTTTTTATATTGAGTGCGTTTTTAGATTTTTTTAGGAAGTGCCACAGCATCTGTTTATGTAATTTTGTCACTTTGTTTTACATAATTGTGTAAAGTGGTATATATTTATGTCTAAAAAGCCAAAAGAGTTATATCATATTTATATGCTTCTTTTTTTTTTATCTTACTATTTACAAGCCCTTGCACCTTTTTTTAATGACAATTTTTAGCGTTGTTTTAATACTTTATTGCTGCACTTAAATACTGAACATCCGTCCATCTGTTTCTGAAATCATTATCTTGTTCAATCATTCAAATATTTAAATATAGAAAAAGTAACATTAATTAGGACTATCTCTTCATGAATAATTAAAATTAAATAATTTGTTATCATTTTCTATTGAATTAACTTTGATCAGTTATAATCCAATATTCATTTTTTTTTACATTCCTTAATTTGTGTTCCATTTAACCATTTTTTATGAATTTACTACTTTATTTTTTGTCATATCTTAAATGAAAAGGTGCTATTGGCATACAGTAGAATTCTTATAGCACACCTTATGGCTACAGCCTACTGTTGAATAATATATTTCACCTGTACAGTGTTTCTTAAATTAAGATATAAAATATGCACAGTTTATGTAAACCATGATGTTTAATAAAAAATGAGCTCTTCTTTTTTTTTTTACTGTTTCAGACTCCTCGTCAATTTATTTGTTTATGGCCATTTAACTTGCTTTTTTAAAAATAAAGTAATTACAATAAAATAAACTTGATATTTTCTTTGTGTTAATGATACATAATTAGTTTTAATAATTTCTAAATATATCTTGTTTGTTCAATTTCTTTGCTTGCTAATTACTTACTTGAATTATCTATTTTTATGACTAATTCTTGACTTGGGAGAAGTTACTGATAACATTCCGACTGAGTTAAAGTTGAGATAGCTTTAAAAAAAATATGATTGTTAGAAAAATGAAAAAGTTTGTTATAAGAAAAGAGTAAGATGCATATTACGTAATTTTGTAAATTTTTTATTCTGAAGAAATGTTAAAAAAAGAAAAATTTACTCTTTATTTGCCAAGTTTATTGGTCTCGAATATTTATACTATCTCTACTTTTATCTCAGTATGAAAATCTTCCATATGATTCTTTGCATTTGTTATTTATCACTTGTAATAAATGTGTTTGTTTTCATGTTATGTAAATTTCAATCATCTAAAATGGATGCAGCTCTTTTTCCATATGTAGTTTTGATTTTACTTTGTATCTTTTTTTAAACTTTTATGAAATAATAAAAATATTGTCAATACAAATAGCTTTTTTAATTGACTCAAAGATTCATATATATTTGGCTATAATTTTACTTTTGTTACTTGTAATTTGTTCCTTTTTAAATTTATTACTTTTACTTGTTTTTTCGTTACTTTTTTGAAAAAAAGTACAAGTATTTGCAACAAAAATGTTGAAAGAAATTCTTACTCTTTTCTGAAAGTTTTTGAAAAATTTCCCTCAAAAAAAAAAATTTTTTTTTTTTTAATATCTTTGAATGTTTTCCTTCAGACAAATCTCTATTTTCTCTTCTAACACCTTTTGTTAAAAATCAAGGCCACCAAACATCTTTATCTCCTTATTGCAAGAGGGAACTTTTATTAAAAGTTACCGTGAAACCCATTAACTGGCCGGAAGAAATAGCAATTTCAGTGAGAAATCCGAATCTTAAAAGGCGAGGGTCACGTGGTGTCCCGCATCTGTCTCCAAACTTATCTTTGGATATGCTTGTTTAACTTCCATTTAATCAGTTGTGAAAATCACTGAAGAAACGTTTTCCGAATCTGTTAGAATAGATTTGACCCCTATTGCAAATTGGCGAGAACGAAGAAAAAAACACATCCCTCCACAGAGGAATCCCTGTAATAAATACTAATAAAAAATTTTGAAAAGGAGACGCCTCTGCCTTTCTCAACAACTAATTTAAAGCAATCAAACAATGTAAGTTGCACGTTTAAAAGATTATGCAGTTACTGTCTTAACATTTTGAATTTAAAAAAGAAAAGGATAAAAGCCAATTTTTTTTATTTCGTCAGATATATTAAAATTTGTTACTACTAACTGTGGTATCGCATCAATGGGGGGGATCAAAAAGAAACATTCATGTCCCCCTCCCTTAAAATCTAATAAATTAAAAATTATATTTCATGATTTTTAAATGTTGCTTTTCTGTAACTTAATACCATTAGAGATGATTGTGCTCCGGAATTTTCTGGAAATCCAAGGTCCAGAAGTTTTAAGAAATTACTGATCACATTTATGTATAAAACTCTTGTATATTTTACTTAAAATTATTAGAACTAGAATTTATACTTGAAATCTCTTTCATTTGTAAATATTTTTTCTGGTAGAATAATAAATGTGATTAGAGATAAAAGTAAACTTATACATAATTATTCATTTAAATTAGGCTGTATATAATTTATTTAGAATCTCATGTTTTGAAAATATCAATGATTTAAATTTATAAAGACGTTAATTTTTTGAAATACATCGAGAAATTTTCAGGATTTTTGAGTTGGGCTCACAATGACCCCTGTACCATAAACAACATATATGAGTGTTTAATCAATACAGCCATATAAAAAAATCTTTTTCAATTTGTAAGCAAATTATTGAAATTGTATTTGAAAATTTAGGATAATAAAAATATGATTTTTTATTATTCTAATGAATTTTTTACTGTTTGCAATCTCACTGAAAAAATTTCTGTGCATATCCTTGGTTACTAGAGCATCATGAATTTTGGGATTTTAATCATCAATTTGGCTCAAAAATTTTATCCAATCAAGCAATTATCTTTATGACAAATCATTTTCAAATATGGGCATTTAGAAATCAAAAATAAATATACTTAAATATTATCTCGTTCTTTCTATTACTATTGAAATTTAATACCTACCTTAATTAAAACAGTAACTAATGTTGAAATTTCAAATGTTTCTAAGCATTGAAATTTAATGAGAAAATTTTTATATCTGGTTTGGTTTCTGCATATTTGCAATGTTCACTATTTCATGAGAAAATTTTGGTTTCTGCATATTTGCAATGTTCACTATTTCAATGAAGTTTGTAATATTTTCATGCGTTTTAAAGTTTTATACATTTTAATAAAAAGTTAAGGTTGCTTTGAATTTTCGATTTCTTTTAAAATTGTTACTTTTTTTATTTTGTACTTGTACGTTTTACTCTTTATTTTTTTTAAAATATATATGTGTGTGTAGTCAATGCTCAAACTTCTGATTCATATGTCAGTATAGATCTTTTAAGATTCTTGTAAAGAAACAGTTTAGTTCTCATTTTTAAGAGAGTCTGATTTTAGGAATTTTTTTGTGTACTTCAGGGATTGAAGTATTGTTGTTTATTTCCACTCCTAAATAATTATGACCTGAAAGCTTTTCAAATTCATAAGTTTCGATTTCCGAGTGGATAATTTGTGGATTGGACTTTAAACGAGGCAAGTATTTTGTTTTTCTTTCATTTACTGACAAATTAATTATTGCATTTTTCTTCAAGGCCGTAAATGCTTGTTTGAAAGCCTGTAAGGTGCGGTCCTCTAAGCAAATGTTATCACCACAGTCCGAAATATGAATTGACTTATTAAAATTTATTCCTCTGGTATTGATCCCTAATCTCTAATTACATTTACAAGTGCTAAGTTGAAGCCTGTGTTCTCCTTCCTATTGACCTTCAGCTGGTATATATATCAGTTATATTAAGAATCGAGGCTATAATAGCAACAAGTTTTTACGTCATATTTAATTCATGCATAGCCTCAATAAAAATATGTAGGTATATATTAAGATCAATAGTTATAAACACCCTACATTTCATTAAATTTCTAACATTAATAAAATTGTAGCCTCATAAAAAAATAAAAGTGCTCTTGAAATAAGATGTGTTAAAAATGAATTGAACGCAAATCAAAACTATAAATTAAAATGATAAGAGAGAAATTTTTTTTACAAGTTTATTATATATACATTACTTTAACTACGACATGAAATAAAATTTATTTCATTTCAATACATTAATATCATCTAAAATTATATTAATAATTCAATGGATGATATCTTTATTGATAAAACTTTTGAAACTAGCAACAATTTTTAATAAGGTATACCATCGATTTCACAAAAACATGCAGTACATCTTGCTTATACAGAAATAAAGATAGGTTCTTGCCAACTGAAATGAAGTTGGTTATTGCCAAATAACTCCTCTTTAAATTACACATTACCATATGTTGGATTATTAATGATGAGAAAGAAATAAAAAGAGAGAATGTTGCTTTAAAGTGACATCTATCCTGAGTTAAGGCTATGAACAAATTCCTTTTATAGGAATTTTATAGAATCGCATGAAATAATATTTAACGCATTGGCTTTTTTTTTTTCTTATTAAGAAATTGGAAAAATATTAGGTATTATTCAACGTAAGATGTTCTTTTCCAAAAATTGATGCTTAAGGGAACATTATTATTTTTTTTATTTATTATTCTACAATTTTATTTCCTCTTTTAAGAATGTTTTATATCCTTTCTCTAATCGTGATTAATTGTTCTTGACCACTTATTCGTGATTAATTGTTCTTTACTATTTAACATGTTTTTCATTATTAATACGCTGAAATAAACATTGTAAAAAATATTGTGCACGCTACTTGATACATGCCTTTAATTAATGATAAATTATCATTTAAAGCTTCTCAGTCCCAGAGAAAAAAAATTTGGATTAGTAGGGTTTTTTTTTTTTAATAAGATGTATTTTTTCTTCATTGTATAAGCATGAAATATTGCTTTTGATTTACTTATATGAACTTCAAATAATTAAGTATACATAAATTAAACCATAGTTCCGTAATTGAAACATTTATTAAATTGATAATGAAAACAGGCTAGCCAAGCTGTGATAAAGCGTGCACCTAAAAATGTTAATAAAAAAAAATGTTAACTAATAAAAAGTAAAAATCAGTCGAGATTAAACTATTTCTACCTTTCAGTTTATTATTAAAAACGAATGCTTTAAATATTTTCGCAGTTTTATGGTAGCTAGATATGAATAGTCAAATAAGCAATTGGGGGGAAAAAACGAATTTTTTTATCACTCTTAATTTTTAAACCCACTCTCCATCATTAATACAAGCTCAAATTGGATCTCAAAATCATTTAAAATTAAATAGTAGTTCCAGTTGGCATACATTTATCGAGGAATAGCATTCATAACAATAATATTGAGCAAAAATGCAGGTTGCAAAGCGTTATAATTTCAGATTTATGAGTTCCTTGAATTAATGAGATAATTTGACGCTGGTTTCCGAACTGAAACTCATTAATTTAACAACTTGATTAAAAAATCATTCATATTAAATTCCTTTAGTTGCACTATAACATAAAACGTTTTAGTTAAGTCTTCTTAATCTATGTGATATCCTGAATCTGTTAAATCTGCTGGTCTTAACGTGAGTCCACAATCCTCTTAATATTTGGGCTAAATAAGACTCGAAGGCACTCATTGCGAAAATGTTCCGATTCTCATCTGACAGAAAGAAGTCCAGCTTTTCGCGGTGCAATGCATCTATAAGTGGAACATACTCTAACAATGCTCTCGTGCTTATTGGTGAAAGGCTTATAGTGCCTCTAGTCCAAGAAACTCTGTTGCAAATCTAACTTTTTACCGTTGACTAATTGCATTTTTGAGATTAAAAAAAAGTGGGTAGGAATACCTTTACGAGTTATAAAATCATTTGTAAGTTATGCTTTTTTACTTGTACGGATTATTGATTCTGTTGCCCCAGAAAAAAAGTACTTAGACTTCAACAAGGAGTGGCCAATCTTTGGCAATTTATTACGTCTTATAATTTAAGGGCTACATATACACTATCCTGCAATAATGGAAGAGACACTTTCAGTTTTTTTTTTAATTTCTCAAGAAATACTTAAGGGAATTATTTTGTAACTTTAGAGGTAATTACTTAATGCGATTTTTCATACTTAGCAATAAGGTTTAAAACTTTCAGAGACCGACAATAAATTACGAAAGAAAATAAGTATTTTTGATCACGTATGCCAGAAAATCAAGCAATATGCTTGTAACTTATACCGATTATATTGGTTGTTATTTGTAATAACTGCGTTCAATTTCTTAAACCTAGCTTAAATATTTATGGAAATATGGACATTTTTATTTTAAAAAAAGCTATTTTTTTGGTCTTACGTTTTTTTGCTATAACTTTAAAAATATTCATTAAAATTAAAAAAAAAGTTTTCGAGCATTTAAAAAACAATTACAAAATTGTATTAAAATTGGAAGAAAAAAAATTGCGCTTGGTATAACTATTTAAAAGCAATTCTTTTATAATACGCATGCGCGGAAAAAATGTAAAGAATATTTTTTATAATTTGGTTGTGAATCGTATTTGGCAACTAATGAAAAAAGTCTGATTTGAATACCTTAAAAATTTATAAAGTTTCAAGCAATTTTATAAGTAGTTTTTGTACTTTTTAAAAGAAAGCTCAAAATTTTAACTGGTTTTCCACAAATTCAATTTTGTTTTATTACAGACGTTTTATTGAAAATGACACCGGCATTGTGGGGGCTCATCCTCCATAAAAGAATGTTTCCTTTCATCTGTTTTCCCACAGTTGGGTGTCCGGAAGATTACTGTTAACATCTTGCGCAATTTTTAGCGATTTTTTTTGTCATTTAATAAAAAAATAATTTTGTAACTAATTTTTAATTGCTTCGAAAAAAATTAATTTTATTAAATATTTTAAAATTAGAGCAAAAAAACGTAAGGTAAAAAAAAAATTTCATATCTCCATAAATATTTAAGTTCGGTTTATGAAATTTTATGCAGCTATATTGCAAGTAACAACCAAACAAATCGGCGAAAGTTACAAGTTTATAGCTTGATTTTCTGCCACAGGGTGTACAAAAATACTTGTTTTCTTTCATAATTTATTGTCGGTCCCTGAAACCTCTGAAAACCTAAAATTTTATTGCTACGTATTATATATCGCATGAACTAATTGTCTCTAAAGTTACAAAATAATCTTCTACGTATTTCTTAAAATTTTTTAAAAAAATTTAAAGTGTATCCACCAATATTGTAGGGTAGTGTATATAATTCACAAATTTGTATGTAAATTGCATTTTTACTTAATGTAAACTATAATCACTAGTATAAATTTTAGTTAAGCAATGGTTTAAAGTTTTGACCTCCTATGGATTAGATTACTCTCCCGTTAAGGAAAATCACGTCTCCAGAAATCAAATTTATGTTTAAATTAAGTAAAGTCGGATTTTTTAGGACAAATTACATTATTTTAATTATTATTTTCAAATTATGCAAATTTCTTCTTAGAATGTTTGTGGATCGTTCAATTATATATATACAATGCTGGAATTTTGCCTCAATAACATTTTTTTTATATCCTCAAAAGGAATTATTTACAAATGAGCTACGGCAGAAAGATAAATCACATTTTACACTTAAATTTGGTTAACAAGCTTTGATTTAATTTCGATTATTAACAAAAATGCTGAATCGACAGTTGATCACATTTACAGAGAAAAAAAACCATAGAATACAGTATTAAAAGTTTAAACATTATAGAAAACTTATTGCAATATATTTACAGGGAAATTACAAAAGATATCATCATACGTAATGAATATTTAAATAGATATGAATTTTATAATTTTTTAATCCAAGTAATGGTTAACTTATAATGAATGATAAACTAATAACGAACAGAAAGATAAATGTATATTGGACTGATTGTATAGGTGAAACTTTAAAATTAATTATCTTCTCTTAAAAATTTACTTGAAAAATTTTAATTACTAGGGTTAGTTTTAATAATGAAATTTTATATTATTTTTTATTTGTTCCAATAATGAATAAAAACTTAGCAATCGGGCATTGATTGTTTAGTACGACTTAGATGTATGTTGCCCAATTGCGTTATTATGCAAGAATTTTATAATTATTATAAGAAATAGAAATTAGGAGTGTATTTATATAGTTGCAGTGGAACTTGCTTTCTTTATGATAAATATGTTTAGTATTTTTTTTACTCGAAAATAATTTTCTATCTTGTTGCAGTTCACTATTTAAGCACACTAACTAATGTTGCAAATATTTTGATCGTTGCGAGCCTCCTTTAATTTAAATGGTAAAAAAAAAGTACGACATTGCAAAAGCTGATGATTCTACTGTAATTGCCCTGTGCATGAATTACAATACCAATATTTAATTCTACAAACAGAATCATACATTATAGTTGATTCGTGGTCTGGTACATAAATTATACATTATTTCACATTCTGAGTGCAGAGCTGAAATCTGTGCAAAATACATCATTCTGATTACCGAATGAATCTTTTCAAGGTGTGAGTTGGACGTTAACTGAGACACACGCATATTTCTTCCGCGTCCTTTGGGTGGAGGTTACTTGCTATCAACGCATTTTTCTGACATCTCTTTTACCGTCTTTGCTACCGGAACATTTTCGTTTTTCGAGAGAATTTATCCATATACTCCTGTGCTGTGTGTGCTTCGAATGCAGGTGAGATGGTGCATATTGTTCCCTTTTAAAACTCCAGTGTCGGGTTCAGTGTATGAGGGAAAATTTTTATTGGTTGGAATATTAAAATACCAGTGGGACAACTACCTGTTTAAAAACTTCATTCACTTCAAAAATATATGAATAGGAAATAACAGTTCGCGATCGCAACGCTCGAATACTCCATCTGGGGAGAACACCGGTTCCATGCCTTGACCCTTCTCTCGTCTCAGTTGTGTAGGAATATATTACGATATTTTCCTCCTTTTAGTTTTCAGTTCCAAATAGTTTCCCAACTTAAAAGTTTTTAATCTATTTAAAAAACAAGAGAGAAACTAATGTACGTCCTTCTCCCCTGACTCTTCACACGCTATTGGTGAAAGCGTGTGAAATGTTACCAATACGTAGAGAGTTCTGCTTTACGCCACCTGCAGCACATTTTGATCATCAATCGACACGTTTGAAGAGCACAACAATAGGTGCCCACTTTCAAGACCCGTCAGGCGTAAATGGGAAGAAACGAAAGTGATTTGAAGCATAAACGTAAATTTGCCAATGAAAAATGGAAAAATAAGGTTGAGAAACAAAACTAGAGAAACCACTGTAGCAGAGAGAAAAAAAGAGGAAAAACAAAACAAGAAAAATCACAGTGGCCGAGACGAAGTGGTGAAGAAGAAATTAGGATGCAAATGCATTTTACCCTGATTTGTTGGAGGTGATCGCAACGCTCGAATAAGCCATTTGGGGAGAGGATCGGTTCCATGCCTTCGGCCCTTCCCTCTCCTCCTCTTTTCAGTTGTCTAGGATTGTACTACGATATTTTTTTTTTTAAATATTTTTCGTGTTTAATTGTTAAAAATACTTTTTTCTTAAATTTCCATGACGCTTTCTTTTAGAACTACGTTTGATGTAGTTTTCAGTTCCATATAGTTTCCTAACTTAAAGGACTTAAATCTACTTGGAAATAAAGACAGAAACTAACGTACTTTCTTCTTCTATGACTCTCCACACGCTAGTGGTGACTGCAAGTGAAGTGCTGGCATAGGTAGAGAATTCTGCTCAACGCCGCATGTAGCCCATTACTATCGCCAATTTTTGGCCACTGTTGTTCTTCCACTCATGTTTATCACCTTTATTTTTCCATGTTTCGTTGGCAATTTTACATTTCAAATCACTTTTGTTTCTTCTCATTCACATCTGGCAAGTCTTGATCATGGACGCCTATGTTGGAGCCCTTCAAACAAGTCGACTGTTATTTCCTATTTATATGCTTTTAAAGTGAATGAAGTTTGTAATCAGGTAATATCTTACTGCTTTAGTTTTTTGGGATTATTTATTTAACGATAGGATTACTGGCTTTTTCTTTAGCAAAAGTTTAAAAATTCATTTCTCGTTAGATCAAATATTTATTTATGATGAATTGCGATGTAAAAAGCGTAAGTATTTTATGTGAGAGAGATAAACATGACTGTAAAAGTTTTTACCGCCATGAAGGGTTCGTGAATTTATCTTTGGACGCCATTTTAAATGCATTGTGATTCAATCGGAAGATATAGTAAAATATTTTAAGATTAATGTATGAAAAAATTTTAACTTTTAGAAGATTAAAATTTTTTACAAGCTTTTTTAAAATATTGAATATAAAGATGAAGTATATTTTTATAAGAATAAGATTCCAATTAATATTTTTGTTCCTTAGCATGAAAAAGAATAGACTAGGGACAATGAATAGAGATGTGAAATTTGTATTTATAAAAACACATTAAGATTATTCACATGCACTTGATACTTTCATATCAGCTTGTAAAATTATTGATGCTTTTAAATGTTTTCCTAATAAATGTAGGGGAAAGTTTACATGTCATGTCAACAATTTCCAGTGAATTTTGATTGATTTTATACAAACTTGAAGCCCTCATGGAACCAAAATTGTGGAAACTATCTCATATTAAATCTTTATTCATTCTGCAGTCAATAATTTTCAAAATCAACTATGACTTTCAAATTTATTCAAATTCGATTTTTTAAATTGCCTTTAAGAAGCTTTGTTGAACAACCTTAATATTAAATTCAGAGTTAAAGAACTACAGTGTAAGTTGATCACTTGGTAGAAAAGCATTTGATGATCCACTTGTACAAGTGGTCAACTTATTAAGAGGAAACTTAATTGTTTTTCTCAGTTTGGTACTTGATCATTAAAATCAACTTTGACAGGTGATCAGCATACACAAGTAGTCACCTTTGAATAGGTTTCACTGTATTTTTAATCATTTTAAAACACTTAAATTTAGGGAAATGCTCATTTTCGGCTTTTAGTTTTGGTTCCATGAAGATTTTTTTTAAATGTTATGCATTTCGAGAAATATCCATCAAACAAAACTGTTTGCTGGTTTTGTACGAGTACATCCAAGAGTTCATGATCTGGCCATAAAAGTATTGAAGTCTTCTCATTCTTGTCTCTGAAAATATTACAAATTGCTTGGTATTTCCCAACACTGGTAAATAGGTGCTTAGTGCAAAGTAACGGCAGTTCGTGCTTCCGTGAGCATTCTATTATATATCTGAGACGTCATATTGGGCGTAACGGTAGTAACTAACCTAATCAGAATAAAAGGGAAAGATTATTCAGTGACAATTTTTATGCAAATGATTCGTAAAATTTGGTAAAGAATATTGTTATGCACAAAGTGAGAATGTAAGATATATAGAGGTTTAACCATTTAAAGTGATGATTACCAATCATAGTCGGTTGAAGCCTGAAGAATCTCAAATGCTTAACTATCTAAAACTAAGTCTAGCTGATCTTAATTGGTTAAACCTCGAAATTACATTATATATGCTGAAAAAGCAATAGGTGATGTATCAATCTTGATAGTTATCGTGCCACGAGCTTTGTACGATGTTAAGATTCACTATGGATGATTGACGGAATGTAAACAATAACAAGCTTCCTAAAACATGAAGAGATTTAGAAAACTTCCGGTGTATCCTTCCGCTTATGTTATGCTTACGAGGCGATGTGTGAATATACTTAATATTCTAAGAAGTTTTATTACTGTAATTTACGCTTAAATTTACGCTTAATTTTATCATTGATAAGAGTTTTCTGTAATTTATAAATTCTAAGAGGTGGTGAACCTAATACAAATTTAAGATAATCAATATCACGACAAAAGTAAAGTGTAAATTTTGCCATGTTTTGAGTGTTACCTCTTGCTGCGGCTATATTAGCGTAACACATCGGTGTTTATTATTTTTTTTTTTGATCGTATGCCTGTTTAGGCAGTGCGGGCGCTATCGTTCCTGTTTTTCAGTGGCGCCATCTATGGCCAGGAATTCGACTTCTGCCACGCCATTCACACAACCACAACCCGTTTATAGGGTGGGTCACATTCACACACAAAGGAGAAAGGACATAGAACACACAGAGAGAGAAAGAAACATCCATGCCTTGCCCGGGATTCGAACAAAGGACCTTTCTGATGCCAGGACAGTTCCCGGCCCTCTACACAGGCCGGTCGGCTATGTTTATTGTTGTTTTTCAGATAACATTAAAACATGGTTGCAGAGTCTTCCGAGTTCATTTGTTGTTTGTTTCATTTAAATTTAAATTGAAAGAGCGTGTTAAGGTATCTGCCTGCCTTAAAATGACCGATTTCATCAAATAATTCGAATTTCTGTTTTTTGCATTTTTGAAAAGAATGAACTCTTAGGATTCTAAAAATGCTTTGTTTTTAAAATTTCGATAATTAGAAGCAAAGTTATAGCTGATTTTGAAACCGGAAGTGAGATTCCGAAACACCGGAAGTGCACTGAAAACGTCAAAATTAATTGTAAACAATGTAGTTTTGAGCCAATAAGAATTTTTTTTTGCTTGTAACGCTATTAAAAATATTAATATTTGTTAATTTTTTTTATATAATATTAATTAAACGCATGTGGCAACAAATTATGTATAAACTTTTTAAAGGAAGTGAAATTGAATTGCATCAATTTTGATATTTATATTTTCTGTTTGCTATGATTTATTCAGCGTTCAAATTTGCCACGATCTTATTAAAAAAAGCTTTAATATGAAATTGACGGTAGTTTTAGTTGTTATTTAAGTACTTTTTATTGTTATTTAAGTACTTTTATTTCACTGTTTAGTTATAGTAAACAAATATGCTAACATAGTAAATCTTTTTTCAAAATTATGTACTGTAAAATTTTGTGTTTTCATAAGAAAGGCATATCTTATAATGTTTATTTTAAAATAATACAGTTTTTGTTTGAAATAAAGTTAAAAATAATATTAGTGTGTAGTATGAAGTTAATATTTTTAATCATGTAGTTGTGTATACAAAATACAGCGAAAATTAACGCGTCATTTTTGCCTGTTTTATGAAAAAATATAAATATTTAACTATACTACATTCTAAAATGACTTAGGTATTGTTTGCCAATTGATTCTAACAACCTAAAACTGTTTTAGAAGGAGTTTGGTGGTAATTTGCTGTGAATTATTGCATACATAACTAACATTTTGAAAAAAAGAAAATCGCGGGCTCGAGTTACTGTTTGTCGCTCAATAGAAAATTGGTCATAAAAAAAAAGATAATGAATTAAAATGCAAACTGTAAAAAGCAAGAGCTACATAAAGGGCTGAACTACAAATATTATTAAATTAAAGCTTGTTGAATAAGTCTATGTAACTATTTTTGTTTAAGTAAATCTTTAAAAGCGTTTTCTGAAAAACTGTATTTTTCAATATTTTGATTCACGCCAGACACTCATACTCCAAAACTAATGGAAATTTTCTTATGAAATTTGGTAACAATGTTATAAACTATATATACTGTGTTTTGAACTAAAACTAAGTTTCAATTTAAATATTTGGTCATGTTACAGGTATATAAACATAAAAAACTATTGAAAAAAATGAAAAAATTGCTGTTTTTCTAGATTTTACCACTTAATTTGGGTAATTTTTAAAATTTTCATAAACCTTTAGTTCAGAACACAGATAAGGGTCAAAATAATCTGTACAGAAAAAGAAATTGTATTTTATTCATTTAAATTAAGTGTATGGTGTCTGGCGTAAGCTCTAAATTTCGCTCATTTTAGGCTTAATTTTTCAAATATTTTAAAAACTATGCGATATTCAAAAATATTTCTTCTTGTTTATATCATTTTATGTCACACATGAACCAATAACACATATGTTTTTTTAAAAAAATTAATTTTTAAAAAAAATTTCATCGTACCCAGGCAGTCGCCTTAAGAAAAGACGTTATTAATGTAAACGCTGGAAGTACAACAATACTGGATGGCACTCTTTATGTTTGTTTGTTTTTTTTTTTTTTAAATTTTAAGAGCATTTGCCCGGATAATAATTTCCATAGTAGAGATTGGCTTCGGGTCCCAACCAACTGGAAACAGCCATGTTCTCACTTAAAGAATAGATTGTTCTCTATACTTGCTTTATCCGTCACCATTATATACATTATTAGTAAAAGTTTTCAATTTACCTGCTCGTCTGCAGTAGGTTCGAGGGGTATTGCACCACCTCCAGTCTCTTCCTGTCAAGAGAAGTTGTCTTTGGTGGTGACACTGCTGAATCCTGTAAGGGGCATGAAGGGGAGACCGTTCTCTGGAGGTTGCCTATCGTCATTGTCGTGTTTGGGAATTATAGGTTTAGTTGAACCTCCGCACATAATCGCGAAACGCAGCTCTCTGCAGAACATGACGCACAGTGGTTCCTGCAATAAATTCAAAGATTGACAAAAATTAATTTCGGTTGCACCAAGTCTTATACTGCAGAAAATTGAATAATTTTAGGGTACAAATGAAAAAGATTTAATTTCTGCAATAATTTCAATTGCTACTTTAAATGAGTTTAATTATTTTTGCAAGAAAAGAAATGCCCATAAAGATTACCCTTTCTTCACTATCTACTTTTCTTGACTTCCAGATAAATTCGACGATCGCCACGACGCAGGCGATTATAAGCCCTGCGCCCAGCACCACGAACACTCCACCTACATTGGCGAGGCTTAAGGCGCTGGCCGACCCTGCCGTGTTAGCTTCGTCTTTACTGCATTTACCACCACCCAATTTCTGCTTCCACCAACGATCTTTAAGAACATGCAAAGTTCCTCTTTCTTGCAACTTCAAAATGGCGCTAGACAGCGGATTTCGGTATGGCGACCCTATGAGATTGACAAAAAAAAAGAACAAAGCAATTTTTTAAAAAAATACTAATAATTTTAACTGTACTTTAAATTATATACATTGAGCGACCATTTTGTTTGACCATCTTTTCCATATAGCTCACCTTATTTCTTTAATACAGTCTTGAATTTATTGGCACAGACTCTACGAGATTTTATTATTTGCGGTACTTTTATGCTGTTATTTGTAGCACTTTCCAATTGTGCAGGACTGGATGGTTTCTTTCTTTCAACTTCCTTCTACAAATGCTCACAGAGATTGAGATCTGAGGATTGTGAGGACCAACATAATAGAATACAATTTCCGTCATGTTCCTCAAAGTAATACTTTATAATAGCATTACAGCAGCACGCGTTATTCCATTGAAAGTATACCCCGACATTGAGATAAATGAGCAACATTACAGGATATATTTATTCAACAACTATGTTTATATATTTTCATAAAAGTGTTCAGTGGTCATAATAAAGTGGCCACTCAGTATATGTAGATAGGTTTTTTTTTTCTCAAAACGATTATAAACTCATGTTTGTGAAAATTGCAACACCATGAAGGACTTACGCGAGTGAGCTGAAATTTTCAGGAAATGCAAAGTAGAGCATGATATGCAAATGATTAGAATTTCAGACATGCAGCGCAAGCGTATGCTGAGCAGCGCCCTCTGAACGGCGGATGGATCCGAATAAATAGACGGCTGTAGCGAAGCGAGCATGGTTATCGGTGGTTATCTGCTAGTGGTAAACGTTAGCTTAGTCATTACTTATGCCAATTCGACGAAAGAGAGAGAGATTTCAACAACTTACGGAGTTTAAACGGGAGAGAATCATCGGTCTTCGTTAATCTGGATTATCTTATCGCGCAGTAGCCGCTCGTGTGCAGTGTAACAACAGCACAGTGATGCGTGTTTGAAAGTAGTGGATGGACGACTGTCGGACAACTCGGAAATGCGGGAGTGGACCCCGAAATGTCACGTCAGCTCGCGATGATAGACACCTGTTCGGCGTTGCGCTGACGGACCGTGCGGCTCCCTCTAGACTACTGGCAGCACGGTAGTCAGTAGCTACAGGTATTTCATTGTGTGCTTTATCAATTCGTAGACGTCTGCTGCAGCGTGGACAGCGCGCAAGGACTCCTTTATACAGGTTCCCCTCACGCTAAACCTTCGCCGCCTGCTGCTGCAATGGGCCAACCAGCATAGGGACTGGCTTGCTGATTGGCAGCGTGTCGTGTTTTCTGACGAATCTCGCTTCAATTTGTGATATCATGATGGCCGCATTCGTGTCAGACGCTATGCCGGTGAACGCGATCTTCCGGAGTGCGTTATCGACCGCCACAGTGGACGAACACCCGGAGTTATGGTCCGGGGTGCCATAGCATATCATGGACGATCTCAATTGCTATGAATTGTGGGTAACCTGAACTGCATCTGGTTCATCAGTGAAGTTCTACAGCCCCAAACTGTTCCCTTCCTTCAAGCCTTGCCAGGTGCTGTATTTCATCAGGACAATGCCCGCCCTCACATTGCTAGGACTTTTCAATGCTTCCTTGTATTGCGACAGGTACAACTTCTTCCTTGGCCAGCGTATTCCCCGGATATGTCGCCGATTGAACATGTGTGGGATTTCGTTGGTCGGCGTCTCGCTCATAATCCTCGTCCTGTTACTTCTACAGACGAACTTTGGGTACGCATGAAAACAGTATGGAATTCTCCTCCTCAGACAGACATTCAAAGTTTGCTTAACTCCATGCCACGTCGTGTAGCAGCACTTATTGTGGAGCGTGGTGGTTACACAAAATACTGATTTTGATCTCTTGTTATTGTTTGTTTGCTTTGAAAGTTTAATCATTTATTTGCACTACTACCGGTCAACTGTGTATTAAATTTCATTCAAATACGACGATTCCTTCATGGTGTTGCAATTTTCACAAACAGGAGTTTATATTCATAATTTTTGTAACTTAAAATTTCATGCAAGTAATATACAGATATCATGAAAATGCTCAATTGATTCCTTTAGACAGTAAGTTTGCGCATTTACAAAAAATCAGAAGAAAATAAAAACGAGAATTTCTGTAATTTGTTTATTTGGAACTATTGCATTTCCAAATATAGTGATTGATTTTAAACAACTGAATGTTGAATCATTAGATATTTCAGAATTGTTGTAGCTTGTCCTTAATTGACATGAGCCAGAATTCTTTTAAAAAATTATTATATAGGGGAGAGTGGGGTCAATTGTAACATTTTTTACTTAACTATTTTTAACTAACAAAAAATCCATGTGGTTATCAGGAAAGTACGACAGACGAGTAAAGTAGACTATCCTCTACAAGGAAAAAAAAATAAATACCTTATTTTACATGTTATTATACTAGTTATTAACAATTTATAACAGTCATGCACTTGTTACAATTGTCCCCACTTACGGGTCAATTGTAACAGTTCATAAATTCAACTAAAACATAGTTAATTATACATATTATCATAGTTGTGATATATTTTTTTATTGATCAAAATAGTAGTGATATTTTAGGAGTAAAAATAATAATGAGCAGA